CGTGCATGCCCTTACGATCGGTGCTGGTGACCGTAGGATATAGATAATCGGCCGTGGATGTGCATGGAGTGATGGGATGGATTGCAACTGTGACAAAAAAAATGCCAGAACGCAACGCGACGAAAGGAAAATAGCTGGGACTGGGAGCCCAGGAGGGCGACGTGCAGACTGGACGCACGCACTGGCGCACTGCGCTGCAAGTAGCCAAGTAGCCAAGTAGGGCGGACTGTCGATATGCGGCTGCTTCGTCTTGGTCACAGTGCCAGACAGGCAGTAGGACAAGCAGAGCCACCACCAGCGCCGAAACTAGCTTTAGGAAAACGACGACGTCAGATATCGGGGCAGCGTGGCTACTGCCGGCCACCAACGCTTGCGTCCAGCGTGCTTGTCCGGCTACGATCGAGCTACCACCGTCCAAAATGGACAAAATAGCGTCCGGACCCAAAAAAGAAAGGACTCTGTACCCATTTTCAATGCCCCGATGAAGGGATCATGAAAGAGACGACTAACACACCACCCGGGTGTTTTGGGTGTAGGTTGGCACTAAACTTTCATCAGCCATGATGATGCCGCTTGAAGTGCAGTGTATACACGGATAGATGATCTATGACTATATCTAGAGGTTTCATGTGAAATGAGACCGCTGACTTGGATGTACTATAAACTCTTGCTTCTAATTATGTTTACAAGGCATTTCAAAGAGACGAGTAACACCACCACCTAGGTGTTTTGGGCGTAGGTTCGCACTAAACTTTCGGCGGCCGCAATGCCACTTGAAGTGCAATCTATACACGGGTAGGTGATCTAATACTATATCTAGATGTTTCATGTGAAATGAGACCGTTGACTTGGATGCACTATAAACCCTTGCTTCCAATTTCGCTTACAAGGCATTTCAAGTCTGTCAAAATCAAACTTTAGAATCTTTGACTAATAGTTTTTAATTATTGTAATATAAACTTGATAACATTAGATTTATAACCAAGCGTACTATCCAATAACCATAAAAGATAGTACCACCGTGTATATTGTTCATAGTTGGTTGAGAGAGACAGGTACATGTGCTATTCGACTAATGATCAAAGAGTTGTTTCCAATATATGGGCACATATAATACTTTCTTCATTCCACAAATTAAAGACATTTTGGCTTATCTAGATACATAGATTTTGCTAGCTATGTATATAGTAAAAAACAATGTATCTAGAAAAGCCAACATCTTATAATTTGGAACGGAGGGGGTAGTTAGGATCTATTTGTATTAGATTTTTTGATTCTGGACATAGTTGTAGGTGACCATTATCTTTAAATAGTAGGGTGGAAGTGGACAGTTGGATTCTCATAATTCGATGGTTTGACGATTATAAAAAAAACCTCTAGAATCTGGCTACTAATTTAAATTTTATTCTCGTGCTTGGAGATCCATATATGGCCTCAGTATGGCTAGATTTTAACCAGATTAACACAATCAGAGATCGTCTTATTTTCTCCCTTAATGAACTGCACAACATCTACTTTCTCCAGCTCTTCCTACCCTTTGTTTTTTTTAACACTTGGAATGGTTGTCTCAAGCGAGTGATAAGAGTAGTAGAGTAGAAGAAGTTGGATAAAACTTCCCGTCCCCGTGTGCGCCTTATCAAACTATAGCAGCTAGCAGTACCCTGCTGCTTTGCTAAAAAGTGAGCCAGTAGAACTGAACGCAGCGCCACTACGTGACACATGGAGACACTGCCACGGCTCATACGCGTGCGTGCATCGGTTTCGCAAAATGATGCCAGCAGTGAGGCAAATACGACGTCTGGAGCGAGATCGACCTGCAGCGTGCCGACACGTTCGCGATCGACGTCGTACCGCATGCTTGTTTCGCGCGTACACCTTAAAATAAAAAACGTAACGTACCATGAATGTGTCGCCGATGCTGACGACGAGGGCGCCGGGCCTCGGCCGCACGGTCCGCCACTCGCCGTCCACGAGCACCTGGAGCCCGTCTACGTCGCCGTCCTGCAGCAGGACGGTGAGCGCCGACGGGTCGCAGTGAGGCCCCGTCCCCAGCGTCCGCTCCGGCTCCGGGCACGGTGGGTAGTAGTTACACCTCATGATGGAGCTGCCGTCGGCGAAGAAGTCCCGGTAGTAGCTCCGGCCCACGCCCAGGCTCACCCCTATCACCTCCATTATCGCCAGCGACACCTCCTTCATCGCGTTGCAGTAGTCCTGATACACCACCCTGCAGCATGAATGTGTATGCCGTATGCGTGCATCCATGCATGCATGTTACATACACTCGTGTCATATACATGATATATATATATATACAAGTGATCGAAGATGTACAAAGCAGGTTTATAGAGATGTAAAGTCGCATGGAGGAGTAGATGTTTACCCTAAGGGTTTGAAGTCGCTTCCTAGCGTGGAGGTGAAGTAGTCCACGACAACATGGCTGCCGGATGTCCGGCGGTCACGGTGGCCGAAGGAGAACGTCTCCTTCCAGGGCAGATTGGCCGTGAAGCGGTCTGCGTGCGCGACGGTGTAGCCGGTCACGTTCCCCGGAGCGCGGCTGGCGCGCTGCTTCGTGGCGAGCGGCAGGCGGAAGAAGTCGGCGGCGCCATCGAGCGCGGCACGAGCAAGTGTGGGGTCCAGGCCGTGCCCGGTCACCTGGAAGAGCCCGTGGCTCGAGCACGCCCCGGAGACCTGCTCGGCGGCGCGGCGAATCCCGGCGCAGTCACCGCGCATGGCGGCGCCGACGTCGACCACCGGCGCGTCCAGCTCCCTCCCCGCTGAGGCCAGAGTTTCGGCGTGGGACCAGACGAACGGGTCCGGGATCTTTAGCTGGCCCCACAGGTTGTTGACAGCAGCGGCGTTGTCCTTGTCGTCGGCAGGAGAGACGGGGAGGACTACTCGACGATCAACTTCCTTGCCCAGGCGGTCACTGCCGTGATGTGGGTTCTCTGGCATTTTGTTCAGGAGGTACGTACGGGGTAGTGTTCGTGGCTGTGGTTCAGGAAGTGGTTTGCAAGTGTGAGTGTGAGAAAGCCTCCTGAACATGTATAGCTATATATAACGGGTTGGAAAGCTTGAGGCTCCTGAGCAAGTGTGTCCTCGTCGTATCTAAGCGCGGATCGGAGGGAGACATCCTTTGGATGGAGACGATTTGGGCATGTTTGGTTAGATGGGACTGCTGAGTAGTCTTTTCATTTTAGTCTCAATTAGTCCCTAATTTGCTACACAAGGGACAACTAAAGGGACTAAAGTGGATTTGGTTTGTAGTCCCTTGAGGGATGGCTATTTGGGGCTACTGGCCCAACTTCACACCACATGCCCCAAACCCCCCCCCGCCTCTTACGCAGAACCGTGGCGAGCGCTTCACCAGTCCACGCTGGATCAACGGCGGGGAATGCTTCACCGAGCGCCTTGTCGCACTCGCCTGCGTCACCGCAGACCCCGCGCATGAGCAGGCGCAGCCGGTCCGGCCGCCCTTCCCAGCCCACACGGCTCTGGTTGGAGCAGGGCCGCCTCTGCCATGGCCACTCTGGCCATGTCCCGTGTGGGCTGAGAGCGGGCCCCATGCTCGGTGCCCGCCGCCGCAAGACAGCGACAAGTGCCCCTTTGTGGGCCGTCCCCATCCTCCTTCCTACGAACAGCAGCCGTCTCCATAGCCTCTGTCCAGAGGAAGAAGAATGGTATTTTAATCTTTGTGTAGCAGCTTTAATGCCATTTAGTCCTCTCTAATCCCTGGAATCAAACAGGGTAGGAGACTAAATTTTAGCCCCTGTTTTAGTCTCTAGTTCCTGGACTAAAGAACCAAATAGGGCCTTGAACCCGTGTGGTCGGGTGGGTCCACTTCCTGCAAAACACGCATCTCAACGATTCAAGTAACGTTAGGGAGGCAACATAAGCGAGCAGTGTCGGAGGGCAAAAAAAACTCCTTTGATCATTCATTCCCCATGGAGATCGGAGAGAATTAAGGGGAAAATTTGTTCATTTTTCTCTGGATCTCCTCCAATTCTCATGGGGAATAGGTGTATTCAAACTAGCGCTTAAGATATGGCGAAGTCGACGTTGACGGTCACTGCATCACAAAATCGAACCGTCCACGTGTACATAAAAACAATAAAGACATGATTATCACCATAGCAATGGCGGACACATGAAGCTTTTTTAGGTGAGACGAATTTAACTATACAGGTTAAATCCAAGACTTCCCTCCCTCTCTTTCAGCCTCTAGGCCAGCCCAAGCTGCCTCCTGTTACCTCTAGCGCAGGCCCAGTGCGCCATCCGCCCAGCGGGGCTGAGCCCGTGCACAGACGCCCGCTCCCTTTCCCTGTCTGGCTGACAGCTGGCCCCGCGCTCTTTCTCGCTGATGAGGCGGTCCCACCAGTCAGCCGGCATCCTCTTCTACATAAAACGACTTCATTTTTTTAATACGGAGGAAGCATATAATTTTAAAGAGCCAAGGTTTCTTCTCTTCAGCTTTTTTCACTCCCTAGACTATCACGAAGCACTTCGTATCTCGCATGTGATCTGGATTTATGATTCGTGCTTATACGAGTTCGAAGAGCATTGGTGGCTTCAGATTTTAAGATGTATCGCATGCAATCCTACGGGTGCGTTTGCTAGTAAAAGAAAAAGAAAAACAATAAAAAAAACGTAGGCCCCAGTGATCAGCACAGGCGTGCAGTGCACATGCGAACGTAATCAACACAGCCAGCTAGCCGTTTCCATTTCCGGCCCTGCAATCCTGCACCGGCTCGAAAGCCCCCTCCACGGCCTCACCTCCACTCCGTCGATGGCCGCCTCTCCTTTACTCCTCAGTGCTCACGCCGTCCACAGTCTAGTGGCATCGACTCCCGCATAAAGATCCACACCACTTGAGCAGCTAGCTCAAGGAAAGGAGGAGCCGAGGAGGAGAAGGCTGGAAGTGGAAAGGAGTGGATGCTTGGTAGATTCTTGCTTTAGCTGAGCTCTTGCTGCCCGTGGATCTCTTTGGGAGTGGTGAACGGAGGATGGGGCGCGGCAAGATCGAGATCAAGAGGATCGAGAACTCCACCAACCGGCAAGTGACCTTCTCCAAGCGCCGGGCCGGACTGGTCAAGAAGGCCCGGGAGATCGGCGTGCTCTGCGACGCCGAGGTCGGCGTCATCATCTTCTCCAGCGGCGGCAAGCTCCACGACTACTGCTCGCCCAGGACCTCGTATGTCCGCTGCTCTCTTTTTTTTTTTTTGTCTTGTGCTTGTTTATTACAGAGTATCGTTCTTCTTTTCTTCCGCGTGCAAGGGAAACTGATCGCAAAGACGCAAATTTGGTTGATGGTAGGCTGTCCAGGATCTTGGAGAAGTACCAGACTAACTCCGGGAAGATACTGTGGGATGAGAAGCACAAGGTGCCTGCCCTTCAGTTTCCGTTTTCTTTGACAATTTGTTTCGGTGGCACGAGCAGATTAATGATTCAAAAAATTAATATTTCAAATGTTTCAGATCCTGAGTGCAGAGATCGACAGAATCAAGAAGGAGAACGACAACATGCAGATTCAGCTCAGGCCAGTATTTCTGAATTCTGATTCAGATTTGCTTCCATTTCTAGCTGCGCGTGCACTTCACTAGTTCGCTGTTCGGTGTGTTCATGTTGTGATTGTGCTAGCATGTCCGTAACTTGTGATGGTGCAGGCATCTGAAAGGCGAGGACCTGAACTCCCTGCAGCCCAGGGAGCTGATCGCCATTGAAGAGGGTCTCCAGAATGGGCAGACTAACATGCGCGACAAGCAGGCAATCCTTCTTCATCTAGTTGCTCCTTAGCTTCTTAGTTGCTTGCAGCACGCAAGCCCGGCAGAATTCATTAGGCGAAGGTTTTGTTTCTGATGTTGGTTTTATTCCACTGTTGCTGCAGATGGACCACTGGAGGATGCGCAAGAGGAATGTACGAGCTCTAAACTTGAATCCTATCCTTTGTTTACATCCTGGAGTACTTCTTTTTCTCTGTCTTTTTTTTTCTTTTCAAAGAAGTCGTTGAGTCTTTTCTTGAGTAAAAAAAAAGTTACAGCTCCTGATTCTTTCTTTCTTTTCTTTTCTTTTTTTTTGGCAGCTTTTGATCACTAATAGCCATTTGTGATTTGCAGGGGAAGATGCTGGAGGACGAGCTCAGGATGCTGTCTTTTAGGATGGTAATTCTCCCCTTCTGAATAGCAGTTAAAAGTTGAAACTTTGCTTGATCTTTCCTAGTTTCCTCCTTTCCACTCCTTATCATAACTTATCAGTATGCAATATTCTGAACAAATTCAATGTTCTGAGCTAACCGAAGAAACCTGAACTACCACGCTGAGCAAATTTCAAAGGGCATGAAAATTCTTGTCTTAGGATTTCTAGTTGGAACACAATTATGCTCACCGATTGGTATTCAAGGTGATTTCTCAGACTTACCAACCCAAGACCAAACTAACCAGACAAGTTGAAGACGAAAATTGGTTTCCTTAGTGAAGTTCCTGTATTATTACCAACCCAACGCATGATGGTCTGCATATTGATTACTGAACCGCCTAAACCCGCTTCAGAAGTTCAGGCTTTGGTGAGGGTTAACCTCATTCTGCAATTGCTGAACGCGCAGTTCTCCTCGCTGTTCGAGACAAAAACAAAAACAAAAAAAAAAAATCTGCAATTGCTGAAAGAAACCTAAAAGCTGATGGCTTGCTGAATTATCCCCTTCCTGTTCCCAGCACCAACAGGCTGTTGATCTGAGCGGCGGCACGAGGGAGCTGGAGATCGGATACCATCAGGTCCAGCACGACAGGGATTTCACTTCCCAGATGCCGTTCACCTTCCGGGTGCAGCCCAACCACCCCAACCTGCAGGAAGACGAGTTGCTACAGTCCTACAGCCTGGTGGACAGTGTTGTGCATGCCGCTCTGAACTGAAGCTCCTCACCTGCAGCTAAGGCTGGACGAAAAACTCGAAGCTCGTTAACTCGCTCGGCTCGTGGCTGGCTCGACTCGGCTCGGCTCGTCTCGTCTCGTTATGATAACGAGCCGAGCCGAGCCAAGATTTTAGCTCGTTAGCTATAACGAGCCAACTCGAGCCAGCTCGCGAGCTAAACGAGCCAAGCTTCAAGGAAAAAAAGTATCAAAACTTGTATTAGTTTTTGTATTACTTCAGGTCTTGCACTTTACAATTGACTGGTAACTGGTCTAGACCCTATAAATTAACTGGTAACTGGTCTAGATGCATTTCTTTTGTATTATTATTATTCTCAAACTTTAGAAAAATGCAAATATTATATTTTGTGTATTTTTTATACCTGGCTCGCGAGCTTAACGAGCCAGCTCGAGCTTTTAACGAGCCGAGCCGAACTGGCTTTCTAGCTCGTTAGAATAACGAGCCGAGCCGAGCTAGCTCGTTATCTTAACGAGCCAGAACGAGCCGAGCCCAAACGAGCCGAGCCGGCTCGTTATCCATCCTTACCTGCAGCTTCTTTCTTGCATTTCATCATTCAGCGTTAGCTGGGTATCTTTCTTTTCATGACAACCTGGATGAACTTTGGTGGGCCTCCAAATCGTGATGATGAGAACGTTTGCTTCATCTCTGTTCTGGTTGGTGATGATTGATGGAAAACAGAAGCAGCAGAAAATCGATGTGAATGTCGTTCATTTGCCAATTGAATATATTACAAAAGATGAATTTCAATCAATCAACAAACAGCAACACTTAGCTGCTATCTACACCCCTCTAATTCTTATCTAGTTTTTGCGATGAAACAGACGAATTTTGCCTGCTTCATCACCTCAGCATGTCCCCATTGTCGATGAACGGGGCCAACGGACCACTGAACGCCGGTGAGATGCTGAAGGTGCTCCCAGCTTCGCTGAACATGGCGTTGTGCCCATATGGCAGCGGCCGGTCCGGCAGCTCTGGCACGTCCATGTCTCCCTCCAGCATCCTCACTGCGTCGCCGATGGTCGGCCGGAGCGCCACCATCACGTGCGCGCACAGGATTCCAACCAGCACGAACCTTTCCATGACCCCGCTCCGCGGGCTCTCGGCGGTGGACAGCGCCTCGTCGAGCACCTCCCTCGCGTGCCCGGCCTTGACGAGCGTCCACGCCCAGTCAGTGATCAACACGGGCCCCGCCGGCGCCGTCATGTCCAGCACGCGCCGCCCGCTCATGATCTCGAGCAGCAGCACGCCGAAGCTGTAGACGTCGCTCTTCTCCGTCAGCTGCCCATACAGCGCGTACTCCGGCGCCAGGTAACCGTGCGTCCCGGCGACGCGCGTCGTGAGGTGCGACTGCCCCTCGCGGCTCCTCCGGGCGAGGCCGAAGTCCGCCACGCGCGCGCGCATCTCGGCGTCGAGCAGGATGTTGGTCGCCTTGATGTCCCTGTGGTAAATCGCCGGCTTGACGCCGTAATGCAGGTACTCGAGACCCCTCGCGACGTCCATGATGATGCTCCGCCGCTGGGCCCAAGTCAACGGGGGCCGCTTCGCAGCCGCTTCCCTGTCCCGGAAGATGAAGTCCTCGAGCGCGCCGTTGGGCATGAAGTCGTAGACGAGGAACCTCTGCTTCCCTTCCTCGACGTCCTCGTCGGCGATGCAGCAGCCGCGGAGCGGCACCAGATTCCGATGCCTGAGATGGCTGATGATCTCCACCTCATTGGTGAACTCCTCGTCCCCGCCCTCCATGTCCGGGTCGAGCATCTTCTTGACGGCGACCACGGACCCGTCCGCGAGCACGCCGCGGTACACGGCCCCGAACCCGCCGCGGCCGATGAGATTGCGCTCGGCGAAGCCACCCGTGGCCTTGGCGAGCTCGGCAATGTCGAAGAGGATCGATCCTGTGTTGGGCCGCGGGTGCGACCGCCGCTCTCCGGACCCCTCCTCGCAGATCTTGTGGTTCTTCTTCTTGCTATTGGCATGCGTTCGCTTCCTCCTCCAAAGAAAGAAGCCGAAGAGCGATGCGAGGAGCACGAATGCGATTGGGACGGTGGCGGCGTAGACGGCCACGTTGCTAGACTTCGACGGCGCGGGGGGAGGGAACGAGAGGCCAAGGCCAAGAGCGCAGGCGGCTGTGGGTGGGTAGGTGGGGCCGGCGGAGTTGGAGATGCCAGCGGCGTAGAGGACGGAGAGGTAGAAGCAGGAGCCCGACTTGCTATCGTTGGCCGCCGCGGTGGTGAGATGCGCGGTGGCGGCGACGCCGGCGCTGTAACAGAGCCTGCAGGTCGCCGACGAGGCGAGGTCGGGGCCGCAGGAGGAGTTGAGGGCCTGGACGGAGTCGTTCCCGACGGCGGCCGCGAACTCCGCCGCGGTGGAGACGCCGGCGCAGTAGGACGGGGTGATGGCGAACTCGCTCGGGTCCGGGAAGCATTCCGGCACCAGGGAGGAACCCGAGAGGCCCGCCGGCGCGGCGGAGACGAGGTCCGTGAAGCTCTGGATGCAGGCCGCGGAGGCCGCCGCGGACGGGAGGCGGAAGTTGCCCGTGGCGCGGAGGCGCTCGGCGAGGCCGATGCCGAACAGGGAGAGCAACGTCTGGCAGCAGGCGGTCACGTTGGGCGCGGCCCCCGCGCACGGCGTAGGGTCCCATGGGAACGTCCGCACGTAGCCCAGGTCGAGCGGGCACGAATCCGACGTCGCGTTCCCGCTGCCGTCCGCCGCCGCACCCGCCGGCGCCCGGACCAGCAAGACGACGACGAAGAAGAACGGAAAAGGCCTGAACATCGTCGGCGTCGGCATTCCCGGGAGCGCTTGGTGCGCGGCCCGGCGGCTAGTGGAGGAGGTCTGCTTAACGTCGTGGCGGAGAGTGAGACAAGGAGTGGTAAAATGGGGCGGCCAAGCTATTGCGTGCACAAGTTATCTATCCATCCTAAAATATTTGCGCGCGGTTTTTTGTGCGGTTCGTGAGTATGACGGGTGGGGTTGGGTTGGTGGTTCGTGTGAGCTGGATTGAAGGCGACGTGGTTGGGGGAAGCGTCAAGCCGACTCGCCGGAAGGTCGAAGGAAACGACTGGCGGAGCAGGTGGTCTAGGACTTGTGTGTTGTGGCGGAGACCGGAGAGAGTGATAGTGATTCGGTTGACGTGGCGCGGAAGCGTGGTTACATGATTACATGAAAGGTTTATTTTGGTTGCGTTCGTTTCTGCTTAAGCGTCTGCAATTGTGCTAAACCTACTAACGGTGTAGGCTAGAACCGGTTTATTTTGGACTAACTAGTTTGGTGAGAAATACGCTAAGAAATATATTAGTTTTGTTTAGTTCAAGTTAGCACGTATAACAAGAGGTTCTGATTGGTTTGCACTTCTTTTCTTTTTCTTGCGTGACATGCGATGTTTGCATCCCTCAAACCGGACAACTTCATTAGAGCAGATATAACAAGAGGTTGTGAGCGGGCTGTAAGCTAAGGTGAAAGAGAGGAGAGGAGAGAGAAGTGAATCGAACTATACACAAAAATCAAGAGATTTTATGAGATAGACAAGTCGGCTATAAGTAGGCTAATTATTATACGAGTGGGTTGATGAGTTGACTATAAGTTTTCTTGCAGCCAGCATTTTGGCTGCTCTTACGTACTGCGCTTCTGCAACGACCTTATCAAGGACGACGGAGCACGTTACAAAATCAAGGGGGGGCCAACTTGATAAAAACACAAGTGAAATATGTTGACATCAGAAATAAAGCCATATATATTATGATAAATTTAACTAATCACATATCAAATGACTATAGAGACTGTCAGACTATTCTTAACCAAGTTATTGACTAAAACTAGCTAGTTATATATATTTATAGTTGGGTCACATTTCACAAAATGCAAGTGACCACAAACTATATTTGAGAATTTTGCTTTGGAAAAGGAGGGGCCGGAGCCCAGTTTGATCCCCACTGTGCTCCGTCCGTGTCAAGGAGAGCACCAAGGCCATCAGACTCAATGACATGGCCACCACGCCAGCACAGCACCACTTGGTGATGTAGCCGTTCTGCAACGTGCTGCCGCACAGAGCTTGGCCACGTCCTCGCCGCCACCGCCGTAGCTGCCCATGGCCTCCGCACACCAGTCAGCCACAATGCTACTGCAGAAGGCAGTGTAGATGGCTGCCACCATCAGCAACTTTGGCACACGATGGAATGTCTGCTCAGCAACGTGCCGCCGTCGCATCTAGTCGCGGCGTCCGCTCAATAGTCGGCTCGTCGCTACTGAGGAGGCCTTCGCTTGCGAGTGCGGAGGAGCCCATGGTCCGTCTGATGAACAGGAGACCCGTGAGCACTCGCCTGGCGGATACGAGCGCCGCTAAGGAGGGTGGGGACCGAGCGCTCCACTGCCAACTGGGAGAGATTTGATCGCCGTCGGCATAAGGATGGAGCCGAATGCTGCTCGGGCACTAGGAGCGTGTGGGGATGGATCACATATCAGAGACAAGCTGGGGAGAAGGAGACGACAGCGCCATCACGCAGTTGCGGCTGCATCACGCGCGAATCCTGCCTGCCTGGACTCCGGCAGGGCGGGCGTGGCTGGAACCGTGGGCATCAGCGTGGCAGCGCAACCTGGGCAAGTGGCTAGGGTTACATGGGAATGGAGCGCCCAGCGAGAGCGAGCGCAGATGCCGTGGACTTTTCTGCGATTGGCGACGGAGGAGCGCGAACAACGGAGCAAGCATTTCGCTTCACTGGTCTGCAGTCTGCGTGCCCGCATCTTTGCCGCTTTGACCAATCCGCACAAGCGTGCGCATGGTGGGACCGGCTGGCTCGGTCTTACGGCACGCACGCACGTGCGCGTACGCCCTCGTTTTCAGTTTCATCCTCGAGCGAACACGCTGGGCCTGGGAAGCTTCCGCTCTAGTACATCCATAGCCTGCGACCTTGTGTATGTGACTCTGGACCTGTGGTTGTTTAGGGTACCGATGGACGGCGGCGGTTGTTGGTCGGAGTAGGGGGCTGTTTGGTTGCTGGTCATATTTGGCCACATCTAAGTTTAAGTGTTTGTCATACTTGTGGCTGGCCACATTGTGTGGTAAAATTGGATTGTTTGGTTTATGACTAAGTTGTGATAAAATTTATGTGGGTGTTATTTGGATGATTGCCACAAATTTTTAGCAAAACGTTATAATATTGTTACGTACGGTGCAGATCGTATTATACTAAATCAAGAGCAAACTATAATGGGTAAAAAATAATAGATTAAATGGAGATTGAGGTGTGCTCCTTTAGAAGGAAGTCAAAACTGACACGTATTTCCTTCGGATATTCTGGAGGCCGCCGTCTCCCAAACCAACCCAACGGTAGATGCGTGCTTCTTCTCCCGCCGCCCTCCCGTCCTTCTCGCCTGCTGCCTGTCCTCCAGCCCGCTGCGTGCCCTCCCGGCGGCCCCCGGCAGCTCACCGCTCTCTCGCTAGCCCCTTCCCAGCAGCCGCCTGCCCTCCCGACAGCACCTCTTCCTCGCAGTGCTTGCGCTCCAGCCCAGCTCGCCACCTCGCCCTTCTGCCGCCGCCCACCAGGGCCAACCCGGCGGCAGCTACGCGATGGTGCCGGACTGCAGCGCCCTTTGGGGCCAAGCGTGTCCAGCTGTCCGCGGAGCAGGAGGCGAGCGTTTTGTGGCGAAGGCGGAGAAAAATCACGCCACACATCTGACTCGAGAAAGCTGTGGCGAACGCTTCTATCAGGTGTGGCGAGCCTTACCTGAACAATGAACCAAACACCTACCTAAAAGGTGTCCAAATCAGCGATGGGCGAGGCCTTCCGAAAACTTGACTGGCCACGAGGCCCAAAGCACTGTAGGTGAAGCAGATGTCAGTGGGAAGGCAGATTTTTCATTTGGAGGCTTTCTTACGTACTTTTTCTAAGCGCGTGTTTAGTGGAGGGAAGTTTGGAATTTTGGCTACTGTAGCACTTTCGTTTTTACTTGGCAATTAGTGTTCAATCATGGACTAATTAGGCTCAAAACGTTCGTCTCGCAATTTCCAACCAAACTGTGTAATTAGTTTTTTTTTCGTCTACATTTAATGCTCCATGCACGTATCGCAAGATTCGATGTGATAAGTACAGTAGCACTTTTTAGAAAAAAAAATTAAAACTAAACACAGCGTAATTCTTTATTTTTTTTAGCTCAGTTACTTCTTCAAGAATCCAAACCTACTTCTCTATGGCTAAAAAGGACCCGAATGTGACAAAAAAAAGGACTCGAATGGCGTGCTGCCATGCTGGATGAGATGAGTCCTGAAGATAAATAAGGTTTGGGACTTAGTTTATTTACTGCCAGGGCTATTAGGCAGCTTGGTAAGGGATAGGCAGCAGATTTATGAAACGTTGGTGTCGGGTTTATAAATCCGGGGTCCACAATGAATCTACTTTTTCTACAAAACTCAGCACAAATACACAATAACAGGCCAAGACCATGATCCGGTCCCTGACCGTCACCTCCGACCAAGGCCTCCCCGAACGGGCCGCGACCCGTCACAGTAAAGAGGGATACAGAGCTAAACACGCTCCTACGGCCTGTCTAGGCCTATGAGTTCAAAGGTTGGCCCACCGATGGGCTCGACAACAATCCGGGCACCTTTAGAGTGAGGGGTAGAAGGGGCCGACCTCTGGGTCGGGGGCTCCGCCTCGCTTGACGTCTGGGTCGCGGACTCCGTCTCGCCCGACCCCCTTTCTCCGACCAAAGATACGCCAGACCTCTGCTTGCTGCTCTTTCTCCAATTGGGAACAACTGACCGGGGACGCCCGCTCGGTGTGCGTCTAGGGCGCAGGCGGAGCAGATAAGATAAGGCGCTCAAGTCAACCGCAATACCGAGGACCGTACCTTGCCATGCTCTGCACACCTGTAGGACGGTGCCACCAGGCTATGACAGACGGACACTTTACAACCTTCCAGGCGTGTTAGAGCATAAGCAGTGTTGTGGACGCTGGCAGCCATCTCGTACCCGATAGCGTGGGCAACAAGATTATGTAGCACACGTACGCACTCTCTCTCTTTCTCTCTGACTTGTAAGGCCATTCCCTTCACATATAAAAGGGGATGCGCTCTCTCCCAATAAAAAAGACGCTAGACCACTCGACGACCCGAGGACTCGAACAACTCAACAGCTCTAGAACTCGATAGCTGCACAGAGCATACGCTCCAATACTTAACGCACGTTAGAGCACCCGTCGCTCTCTTCCATTCGATTCAGAGTCCGACCGGACCTTTAACACCCCCTTCTCATTCCTACTCGTTTGTAACAACGCAACAAACTTCAAGCACCTGGGCTCAGGAATAAAATCACCGACCGACCTCAACTGGATGTATGGCTTGTTGCCTTAACCAATATAACTCATGTGTCATTGAGTGCTAGGCCACATCCGATCACAACGCATAGCAAAACTACAAATATTTATTTGTTGATCACTTTTCGCACCGACAATAGGAGAGTTCGGTACATGCCGACGCAATACATTATACATACGGAGTACATTAGTACAATAGTACATACATATACATACAATACTTCAGTCCGGCAACGAAGCGCACAGGAGAGAAATGATGGCAAAGAGAGATGAAAGCTCGGAGATCATCATCGTATCCACGAGTACAGCGACATGCACGAACACGCCCGGTCAGCCCTGGTCGGCCCCCGGGTTTCACTTTCACCTCCCGCTCACGGCCTCGTCGTCGGCCCGTCGCTTTTCTCGGTGACCCTTCAACGCGCTCGGCGCTGGCAGCCTTTTCGCAACCAAGGAATCCTGGCGAATCTGCCGGTAGCCATA